TTATCAGTCCTTGCCAGGGTCATGTGACCACACCTAGCCAACGAGACACTGATTTTCCCTTAAATCCACAAAAAGATGGACTCAGGAGGTGGGGTGTGGTGCTCTGGGCCTAGGCGGAGAGATGCCTCGCAGGACATTTCAGTGACCTCCCTGACTAAGTGTAAGAGACAAGCAAAATTTTAAGTGTTAAGCCATTGAGATTTTGAGGACATGACCACAATGGTTAACCCATCTAGAGGACTCACTTGGGACCAAGTATTTCAGATTTTGGAGTATTTGGATCTATATAATGAGATATCTTGGGGATGAGATTCAAGTCTAAACATGAAGTTCACTGATGTTTCATAGACACCCCTGATGCATAGTCTGAAGGTAATTTCACACAACGTTTTTCATGCACTTGTGTTTCGACTGGCTTGTCACATGAGATTGTGTGGGGAATTTTCTACTTGTGACGTCACAAGAGTGCTCAACAAGTTTTGGATTTGGAGAATTTTGTGCTTCACATCTTTGGATTAGGAATGCTGGACTGGTGTAAAGTTTCTAGCATCTTCAAGGTGTCTGGCCTACGATAGCTCTGATCACACTGCATTTCTGTCTGTGCTGAGCCTTTGCTCGTGGGGCCACCCTGTCTTCTCTGTTCTTCCTTTTCCATGGTCCCGCTCTCTTTTGTCCCTTAAAGGGTCTCTCTGACTGTGCTTCTGGCCGCAAGCACTGCCCCTGTGTGCTAGGCACATGGCAATCAGCTCTGCGTTGCTGTGTCTCTAGCCACAGATGCTTCACCGGCAGCGTAGGGTGTTCAGCCCCAGAGCCGCCACACGCTGGTGAGTTGTAATTAAATCTTAGATGTTTCTCAAGTCACCTGTTTCAGATTTGAGAAAATTCAAGGTCATTCTTCTAAAAATATCACTTATGATCCCAAATGGCTTTCTGCCCTTCACCCCCACTTTGCCTTCTACTCCACCTAGAGCAGAGTCTGGTGCTATTGCTGTCTGTCTGTCTGCATCCTGCAGCACGCTGTGAGCACCTCAAGGGAAGGGTCTGCTGATTTTTCCTCAGCATTGCCACAATTTCCATCCCATGATAAGCAAGAGAGGGACCATGAGGCTTGCAAAAATGCCTGCTCTCAGCCTGGCATGAGGGCTGGACAGGAAAAGCAGGAGGTTCTCCCAGAGGGATGTGCTAGCACTACCCCATGGCAATCAGCAGGGGGCGCACTCCCATGGTGGCCACCTGGTGACAGCACGGGCCAGGGAATGTGCTGGATCTCTAGTTGACACCCTGCTCTGCCTGCCAGAGCGTCACAGAGAATGAAGTTGCATTGCCCTAGCCACCAACAGTTCTTGCAGGATCAATAAAACCCTCCAGGGAGTAGGTTCTTGTATTTTTCCAGCTACACAATTCTCTGCTCTGTGAGTGGGTCTCTGTTCACACTGGCATCACCCCAGGGGCAGGGGATGGTGGTATCCTTGGGGCTTCAGCAAAGCATGGCAGCGTTTGTTCTCCATTGGGAAGATGTGTCAGGGCCACAGTGAGCCCAGAAGATGGCCTGGGGACAGATGGCCCTTCCAGAATGGTCACCTTTCCTAGAAGCTCAGCTGGTTTCTCCAGCCACCAAGCAGGATGGGCCCTCAGTGAGGTTTCTGCTTGTTTCTGGGCTCTGTAGGCATCTTCACTTCCCCTGGATGCCTGTCATCTACTATCCGCTGTGGGCTGGACCAGATAAAGACTGCTACTCTAGAGGCTGCCCCAAGACAAAGGGACCTGTGGTTTGTTGAGACCTGCTTAGGTTTGCTGATGTGTGTGTGTATGCACTTGTGTGTGTATGTATGTATATGTACATATATATTCTTCTATTCAATTTTTATAGCTAAAAGATTAATATTAAGTCAATTGTATACATGCAGGGTCTGCATGAAGGGATTAAATCTTGTCCAGTCACCCTGATAACAAATATTGGTGGTGTGACTTGAATCCAGGTATGCCTTACTCTACAATCCTTGCTCTTTCACACTGTAAAGATGATAGTGATGGGGGACTGCACTGTGAAAATCAGAACAGGGTCTTCTTCAGGAATGTGGCTATTCCACAGCATTTTACCTGGATGGAAGACCACAACCACCACAACCATTTAAAGACTTGAGACAGCCGGAGAAATACTCAGAAATGTGCATGATCCAGAGGAAGAAAAGAGAGGGACCTGTGTCCAGCCCTAGGAGCAGGTAGGGAATTTTCTTAATCCCAGGAGGGCTTCAATTCTTCTATTTGGAGAAGCAGGAGGAGGCCAGTAACCAGCAAATAAAATAAGGGCCATTATTCAGAAATGATGTGAGGGATAAATGCAGGGAAGGAAGGAAGTTAGTTTTAATAATTCTCAAGATCATCTTCTAATCTGAGTTGCCAGTGCAGAGGAAAAGAGTGTGGATTTATCTTGGACAAGTCCCTGAGCCTCAGTCCCCTTATTTTTGAAATGAGGTCATAATATTTAATCTGTTTTGAAGAGTGGGGATAATGAACGTAAAATCGCCCCCAGTGGCGCTCCATAAATTGTCTTATTAACTTATTACACAGTGCTCTAGTTCTCACCAGACGTGCCCAGGGGATGGAACAGGATCATTTGCGGTGATGTGGTTAAGAACCGCTGGCATCCTGAAAAGCCAGGCAACCCCACCCCCCCATTTTTTGATGCCACTTATTGCAACGCTTCTGCTTTTCAAAAGGCCAGGACTCCTCTTGTTCTTAATTTACCATTCTAAAAGATGCATGGATTTTAAGTCCAGCATCTTTGGTTTATTTGCTCGGAAGAGCCTGGAACTCTGCAACTGCGGCCTCATGCGGTGGCTCAGAGCAGAGAAGATGCACTTAGAGGCAGCGGGTAAATCCAGAATCAGATAAAAAGAGAGGCGGTTTGGAGAATGATCTCTGCATCACTGGTTGACAAAACCCTAAGAAAATAACACATACGGTGGGGTCAAGACTGGCCTTTCCAACATGAGGCCATCTTGTGAGCTTCGTCCAAAGACAAGTGATTAGCTGTAGAGTGTGTGTGTGTGTGTGTGTGTGTGCGCACACACACACACGCACGCATGCATGCACATGAGCTTGTGTGCCAGCTGTGTTAAACAGTGATCTGGGAAGTCAATCTTGCTTTATGATGCTTCCTACACTCCTTCCATCTTTCCCCTCTGACCCAGTCTCATGGGTGAGCCCTTAAACCCCACACTCACCAAGATCATGCTCCCTTGTGTGGCCCTTCAATGGCTCCCAGTTGCTAATAGAAAAAAATAAATGTAAACACCTAAACAAAGACGTGGCCTCTGTCTACTTCTCTGGTCCCACTTTCCCCTGGTTGCCCCCTGCAATCTGAGCACCTTAGTGCTGGCCTTAAAGTTTTCCAGTGCTCCCTGTGATGTTCCTCAGCCTCCTGCCCTGGCACCGCTCAGGATCTTGGAAGGACAGTCCTCTCGCCTGCCTCCTGCTCTTCTCCAGGTTGGTTCCTACTTACCCTTCCTTGACATCCTGCTCTGACCTTACCTTCTCTGGGGAGGCTTCTCTGACTGCCATTTACCCAGAGTCCAGAGTCTGGGATCAGGATTCCCTGGGTTCCAATTCTGGCTCTGCCTATCACTAATTCTCCAATCTTAGGGAACTTTCTCTTTCAGTCCTCAGTTCCTACTGTGAAAAATGAAAAATATTCATGGTCCTCTGTCAAGGGGAAATTCTCAGAAATAATAACCGTAAAGCATTTAGAACAAAACAGTGGCTGGCAGAGGGAGGCTGGTGAATTCCAGGGCTCCCCATCATTGAAGAAGTCATCAAGCTCCATTACAAATGGCCCCTGAACACAGGAAGCTGGGGACATTGATTTTGGTAATCGAGTACACAGCTCAGAGCAAATACAAGTGTCCGTGGAAGGTTTGATGACCACAGTCCTTCCAGGGTTGCCCAGTGTGCGGGTCACAGGCGTAGGTCCCTGCAGAGGGAGGTCCCCAGTCACTCTATTGTTCAGGGCAGGCAGGCCCAGGGTGGGACAGCAGGACACAGCTCTGTGGCAGCCTCGGTAAGGATGGGCAGCACCTGGGAAACCTCTCTGTAGAATCACTCCCTTGGAAAATGACCAGGGAGGGGAACTGTCACAGCTTCTAGGGCTCTGGGTAGCCATCATTGTCCCCAGAGATTGGGCCACCCTGACTTCCTGAGAAGAGCTGAGAGATTGCCTCTGCCTTCCCAGACTGGGGGCCATGTTGATGGAACAGGGGCTCCGATGATATTGTCTCTGACACTTATTCAGCACCCAAGGGACCCACTGGCAGCAGGAGCTCTGTAAGTCCGGGTGAGGCAGAAAATAACCCCCTAGCTGGTCACATCCTTCCCTGCTCCCTTCAGGAGATGCTTTTTCTCAGAACATAGCTTTGATTCTCTCAGATCACTTGAATATTTTTGTTTCACACGGGCAATAAAAATAGTGAATCTGTTCACATTCCTTTTGGTGGCCAGAGATTGCTGGGAGTATGACCTGTGCGTCACCATAATGATGCAGACCCAATGACCTCCAATTCTGCCCCCTCTGTTTCCCCTTTCCTTTCTCATGTGTCGCTCTGGGTCCTATTTATTTATTTGTTTTTCGATCCTTTTGGGGGTGTATTTATTTTTCCTACACTGCCTGAGCGTACTCTTGCACGCTGCTTCAGTTCCTGCAGGCGAATGAAAAGCCAAGCAAACGCTCAACCCACAGACTCGAATCACTTCCTCCAGGCAGACCCAGAGCACGTGCTGACTGTCGGGCGTGGGCTGATGGTCCATGAGGACTGGATCTCAGAGTTTCGGGAGATGGCAGCAGAAATCAGTCCCTCTTGAAAGTCACAGCCACAAGCCTCCCCCACTCTGCAGTGGCACCATTTCTGTGCAAGAAATAAACTCATTCCTGGCCGACCCGGATGTGGGGCAGCCTCAGCCTCATAAATCAACGTCTCACGGGGCGACACCGGCTCCTTTCTTACCTTTATTCCTTGCCCGAGGCTTTCTAAGGAGTTAATATCCAGCCCTTCCTTGCAGGCCTGCAGGCAGGAAATCACCTTCTGACTTTCCATCTTGCCAGGGCGCATGGTGAGGCTGGCCAGGCTGCCGTGGAAGAACTGCGCAAACCGGGGTTTAGCGACTTCTCCCCCTGAAAGAAACAGAGGCTCCATCATTTGCCCTGTGGAGGCTGGGTCCGAGTGACCCTGTCAAGACACCAATTGGCTATGGAGCCAGGGTTACATTGACTGTGTGTCCCATAAGCCTGATTTGGAAAGCAAACTCTTGTGATTCATCTGTGTGTGTGTGTGTGTGTATGTGTGTGTGTGTGTGTGAGTGATTTATTTCCCCATTGATAATAGAGGCCACGGGGTGGGGTTCCCTCCTATTGGCCACCCACTGATAACACCTTCTGGGTTTGCCCACTTACCTGTGCTTACACCTGTTCCTCTTTACACAGAGACCCCTCCCGCCTCCAGTAGCTCCAATTAGGCAAATCTCACAGTCTGTTGAAGTCCCTTAGGTTCCCTGTCCCCTGCTGTTCTCTGAAACCTTCCCTGAGTCCCCAGTCCTCCATGCCCTCTCCTTGCTCAGGGTCCCCCTGTGCTTTCTGCCCTGAGCCTTGGAACCCAAGGGGACAGTTGATGTTAACATATCCCCCCCTCCACCCCGCCGCGACCTGGCATTGTTAGAGGATGCTCTATTTGTGTGTTTTCTCTCTTCCAGAGCCTAAAACTGTGGTTTAGCACCTCGGTTTAATCATCTGGGGGATCTTTAAAAAGATAAACTGATGCCCCGTGCTTCGCCTGACACCCAGGGGTTCCGACTTAACTTGGAGCGGGGAGTCGAGTACCTCCTTAGTGAATCAGATGTGAAGCCAAGGTTAAGAGCCGTGGGACTGTACTTGGTTGGGTTTTTTGCGTACTCCTGTGGGATCTCTCCCCTTGATGCTGCCCGCAGGCTTCCTCTTTGCATGCTGCTCTAATTTATTAGTTTAAGTCTCTCTCTCCTGGATAGCAAGGATCACGCATGCATTATTCATTTTAATGAAGACAATACTGAGGAATCTCAGGGGCTGAGGGCTACACCAGGCACTTTGCATAAGCAGGCTCGGTTATCCTTCGCAACAACACTTGGCCTCTTGGTGTCCTCCTGGCAGCCTGTACCCTGCCTGGCACACAACAGACACTGTATAACTGCCTGCTTAACTGAAGGTGACAGTGAGGTGAATACCAGTAAAGCGGCATCTGTCTCACTCTGTCCCTCCTGCTGAGGCAGCCCTGAGGGGTAGGGGGTTGACTCAGTCTCCAGGGGTGGACTCTACTTCATTTAAGCCAATACAATATGCCATCCCTGAGCTCCAGTGACTGATTCAGGGTGGACCTGGGACCCAGTGCCAAGATGAAGCCAATCAGCACCTGGCATTTAATAAGTCAGAGGAACTGGCCCAGAAATAAACATGGGACCAAATTTAGGCAAGGATCAAGAGGGATGTTGGCTTGCAGATTATGCAAAACAAAACAAAACAAAACAACAACAAAAAAAACTTTTGGTTTTCTTCTTTCCAGAAAGTTTTTAAGCAACTCCTGCTGCCTTTCCCCCAGATGGTCAGGTCAAGATGGAAGGCTGAGGGCTGCCACGGCTTCTTGCCATTAGTCTAGGGACAACCAAGGCATGTGGTGGTGGGGGGGAGAGCAGAGCCAAGAGAGTCATGGTAGGATGGATCAGGTCTCAACAGATGCCCTCGCTGCTGTGCTTCAGGATGTCCTCAGCTGCAGGGGCCACTCTTCTATATTTAAGGGTTAAACCCTCTTGACTCACAGTGATGCTCCCTGCCACCCAAAGGCTCTGTACTTTGGAAATGCGAGGTCCCTTTTGAAATTTTTACTTCCAAGGGAATTGTGAGCAGATTTTTGCTTGGAGGGATGGACTGAGATAGCCCATGACTACGGAGAAGTCAATTGGAGACTTTTCATCTGGATCCTAAAAGCCCCCCAGATAAAGGGCTCCTCTGAGCCATTAGCATGCTCCTGCCCTACCAAAGGGATGTGTTTGCCAACCTGCAGATTGGAGGGAGCTAGCCGAGTCTCTGGTGCAGCGGCCACCCTTCAAGGCGTGGAGACAGTCTTCCCTGCCCTGCCCTGGAGCGGCAGATCCAACAGCCATCGTTTAATGGACGTGAACTAGTACCCGTTACTACGGGAGGTCCTCAGCACGTATCCTCTCACTGGATCCTCACGAAGCCCCTGGGAGGTAGGTCCTCCTTCTACAGTCACAGCTGAGCAAATGTAGGCCTAGAGTGTTGAAGTAAGAGGCCAAGACCACGCTGCAGGAAGCAGGTGGTCACCCACCCACGCCCAGCACAAAATAATGTGTCCCGGTGGGGCCACCAGCCCAGTCCAGAGTGAGTCTGAGAGAAACCAGCTGTGACCCTGCCATTGGCCGTCCTCAAGGGCTAACCTCTGTGACTCTCCCGGATGCCACAGCACTTTCCTACACACTGTTTTCTCTCAGTAAAACATATTCGTGTTCTGCATTTTCGACTCAAGAATCCAGATCTTGCACTCTATTTATTTTTAGTGATGGGGCTCCAGGAAATCAATTCAATTAGCATTTTGCCACAGGAGACCAGGTGAAAATCTGAAATATATTTGTACCCAGTGGTGACCGTGATGTAGAATTTTTAAAAAAATAATAGATACATTAAAATTTTTAATGTCTAGGGTGACCACATAGGTCACGTCTCTCCTCTGTTAACATTTAGAGTAAACAAGGTCATGAATCATTTTAAGAAAATAAAATAACTTGAATTTTTGTTCCCACAAACAACCTTCTTTAAGTGTTTGCAAAATGTGGTTTTGGATTCCTGAGCCCAGATCTGTACCCATTTTTAAAGTGCTTGCTATAGGTCTAACCTAGAGTGTGGACCACACTCTACAGGAACTTACACTAGATAGGAGAATAGAGTACAGACCCTGACAAAATAAAACAAAAATAAAAGATTCAATTGCCAGCAGAGCAAACATACTGAACAGTGCATGATTAATTTCCAAACAAGTTATATAGACAAACTGTCTGTATTAATAGGTCCAGGGGAGAAAAATAGGTACCATTTATTAGGTCCTTGAAACATGGAGGATTCTTTAATAAGCTATTTTATTCCATGTGCTATTTTATTTAATCCTTAAGTGGGGGTACTATCTCGGAGATCTTTGCTTCTGTGCTTTATTTTTTTCTGTGACATTTCTCCCATCTCACTTCCATTTTAACACATCTCTCGACTTGCTCCCTGGGGGATCAAGGGAAGAGGCTGAAGCGAAGTCTTTTCCCAAATGCTGTTTCCCAAAGCCTCAGGAGAGCAGTGAAGACCTGGGAATAGGTCTACCTTTGGGGGAAGAATAAGGAAAGAGAAGCTGACTTCCCCCCAGGTGTGGTGGGGAGGAGGGTGGCAGGAGGAGGTGGGGGGATACAGTGTCAGAGGTTCAGAGTGAAGGTCCTTGCAGTTGCTCGGGATGTGGGATGTGGGATGCTGGCTGCTGGCCTGGCCGGCTAGGACAGTAGACCACAGATGGATTTTGAGAGAGATCATGAGATGCAGGGAAATATTGATGTGCCCCCCCCAAGTAAGGCAAGGAAATACCAGGATACAGTCCTGAAGGGCCATCATGACTGATGACCAAAAGAGGTGAGCACCATTTCAGTGGACACCTGTATGGAAAGGTAACCAGGGCCCCTCAACACCCTAGCACCATCCATCTTCTGCCATCATCCAGCACTCAGAGAAAAGGAGAAAAGTCCAAGTCATTGGAGGCTAAATCTCCCCCACTCACTTGGAATAAGGGCTTGAAATGAAAAAAATTATGGCTGTGGGGAAAGCCATTTTCTTCTTGTGAAGGAGAATCTTCCTGCTGCAGTTAACATCTCCTTTTATAAACGAGGTTTACAAAGTTCTATAACTTGTCCAAGGCCACAGGCCAGAAATGAGTGAAGCCAAGCTGCTAATTGGGTCTTACTTGCTCCCTGGTCTTTGTCCTACACATCAGATAATGAGATGTTGCTGGAGAGATGCAGGGAGGATTTCTCAGAGGGAGGCTGGGGGAGAATGCCCAATTATGCTGGGCTCTGTGGACTCCACATGGCTTTTCCAGAGACACCCAGTGGCAAGTGTCAGTTTGCCAGGAAACAGTCATTTTCAAAAACAACAGTGGATTCAGTAGGCTCCCTGTGTCCTCGGGTTTCACATCCGCAGATTGAAAATAGTTTAAAAATGTGTCTATAATAGACACATACAGGCTCTTGTTATCATTCCCTAACCATTACAGTATGAAAATTATTATGTAGCATTTACATTATATTAGGTATTAGAAGTAATCTAGAGGTGATTTGAAATATTCAGAGGAGGATGTGTGTAGGTCTTATTCAAATGCTTTATATAAGGGATTTGAGCATCTCTGAATTTTGGTATCTGCAGGTGGTCCAGGAACCAATCTCCCACAGATACTGAGGGATGGCTGTATTTGGCAAACATGATTTGATGGAGCCTGTCTTATTCTGAGCCAGAGCCTGCATTGGGAATGGAGAGCTCCACACCCATCCCCCACCCCCCACCACAGCTTGCCTTCATCTGGAGGAGAGACCCGCTCACTGTGATGACAGCTTTGGAATCAGGAATGGTCACTTTACTCTAAGCCTAATTTGAAGTAAATATTCTACGTCGTGTGAATGCAGTAAATCTTCCCCCTGAGCAAAATGTGTTCAGGGTGCTCCTGGTCTTTCCTGCTGTCACTGCCACAGTGATTAGGCTAAGAAACTCACAGGAACCAGCGAGGGGCAGGTTCTCTCTTGCCTGAGTTGCATGGTGCTCTGTGCAAGGGGGGGTGGTGGTGGCTGGGGAAGGCCCTTGATGAACACAATTTCATGGATGATTGGCTATCCATTTTGAGCAATGCAAATGGCAAGACTGTCTGAAATCTTGCTTTCTTTTATTTCCTCATTTCAGTGATGAGACACCCATGGAATGCAAAGACTAAGTGAAGTGTGTCAGAGACCCCATCTGCTGCAGCTCTGAAACTCTGTTCACACCGTCCTGGGGGTATGCACATGGCTGCAGGTTGCAGGTGACTTGCAGAGAAATAGGATCTGTCATCCTGG